GATTTAGATGAGGTCACAAGAGTGACCCTCGTAATGGCAGTAGTGGCCTTATAAGAATAGGAAAAGACCACTATGTGAGAACACAGTAAGATGGTCATCTGCAAAATAGGACATGGGCCCTCAGTAGATTATCTGCTGGCATCTTGATCTTAGACTTCCCAGACTCCACAACTGTGAGAAACAAATGTTTTTGTTTAAACCACCCTGTCTAATGGTATTATGTGATGGAAACCCAACCAGATTAAGATATACACATCCTTTGGAGAAACGTCTGTTGTCCGGTATCCTTTTTCCCATATAGATACCCGTTTGTGTCAGCACCATTCTTGGAAAAAACGGTTCCTTCTCCATTTTCTTTGGTCTTGGCACCATTGTTGAAAACTAAGTGACCATAATTACGAGGGTCTATTTCTGGACTCTATTTCCATTTATTTATATGTTTATACTTGTGCTTATATAATAGTGTCTTGATTACTGTAGCTTTGCAGAAGGTTTTGAAATTAGGAAGTGTAAAGTCTCACAACTTTCTTCTTTTTTTGAATTTTTTATATTTATTTATTTATTTATTTTAACTTTTATTTTTTTATTAGTCATATGTGCATACAATGCTTGGGTCATTTCTCCCCCTGCCCCCACCTCCTCCCTTACCACCCACCCCGCCCCCTCCCTCTCCCCCCTACCCCCTCGCTATTTTGCCCTTATCTCTAATTTTGTTGAAGAGAGAGTATAAGCAATAATAGGAAGGAACAAGGGTTTCTGCTAGTTGAGATAAGGATAGCTATATAGGGAGTTGACTCATTAATTTCCTGTGCATGTGTGTTACCTTCTAGGTTCTTTTTGATCTCACCTTTTCTCTAGTTCCTGGTCCCCTTCTCCTATTGGCCTCAGTTGCTTTTAAGGTATCTGCTTTAGTTTCTCTGCGTTGAGGGCAACAAATGCTAGCTAATTTTTTAGGTGTCTTACCTATCCTCATATCTCCCTTGTGTGCACTCGCTTTTATCTTGTGATCAAAGTTCAATCCCCTTGTTGTGTTTGCCCTTGATCTAATGTCCCCATATGAGGATTTTTGGTCTTTTGGGCCAGGCTAACCTCACTCAGAAGGATGTTCTCCAATTCCATCCATTCACCAGTGAATGATAATATTTCGTTCTTCTTCATGGCTGCATAAAATTCCATTGTGTATAGATACCACATTTTCCTGATCCATTCGTCAGTGGTGGGGCATCTTGGCTGTTTCCATAACTTGGCTATTGTGAATAGTGCTGCAATAAACATGGGTGTGCAGGTGCCTCTGGAGTAACCTGTGTCACAGTCTTTTGGGTATATCCCCAAGAGTGGTATTGCTGGATCAAATGGTAGATCAATGTTTAACTTTTTAAGTAGCCTCCAAATTTTTTTCCAGAGTGGTTGCACTAGTTAGTTTACATTCCCATCAACAGTTTAAGAGGGTTCCTTTTTCCCCGAATCCTTGCCAACACCTGTTGTTAGTGGTGTTGCTGATGATGGCTATTCTAACAGGGGTGAGGTGGAATCTTAGTGTGGTTTTAATTTGCATTTCCTTTATTGCTAGAGATGGTGAGCATTTTTTTCATGTGGTTTTTGGCCATTAGAATTTCTTCTTTTGAGAAAGTTCTGTTTAGTTCACTTGCCCATTTCTTTACTGGTTCATTAGTTTTGGGGAGATTTTAGTTTTTTTAAGTTTCCTATATATTCTGGTTATCAGTCCTTTGTCCGATGTGTAGCTGGCAAATATTTTCTCCCACTCTGTGGGTGTTCTCTTCAGTTTAGAGACCATTTCTTTTGATGAGCAGAAGCTTTTTAGTTTTATGAAGTCCCATTTATCTATGCTATCTCTTAGTTGTTGTGCTGCTGGGGTTCCGTTGAGAAAGTTCTTACCTATATACCTACTAACTCCAGAGTATTTCCTACTCTTTCCTGTATCAACTTTAGAGTTTGGGGTCTGATATTAAGATCCTTGATCCATTTTGAGTTAATGTTGATATAGGGTGATATACATGGATCTAGTTTCAGTTTTTTGCAGACTGCTAACCAGTTTTCCCAGCAGTTTTTGTTGAAGAGGCTGCTTTTTCTCCATCATATATTTTTAGCGCCTTTGTCAAAGACAAGTTGGTTATAACAACTTTTTTCTTTTTAAGGATTGTTTTGCTATTCTGGGTTCCTTGCAGTGCCATATGTATTTTAGGATCAGCTTGTTATTTATGCCAAGAAGTCAGTAAGAATTCTAATAAGGATTGGGTTGAATCTGTAAATCATCTTGGGGTGTATTGTGATCTTAGTACTCTTATGCCTTGTTCTCTAATCCATGAACACGGGGTGTCTTTCCAGTTATTTAGATAGTCTTTCATTTCAACAATAGTTTGTGGTTTTCAGTGTAAAAGTTTTGCACTTCTTTGTGAACCTTATTGCTAAGTATTTTATTCTTTTTTGATGGTAAGTGGCTTTAATTTCCTTTTTAATATTTAATTTATATTTCATTTGACACATAATTGTACATATTTAATGGGGTACAGTGACATTTATGTGGCATTATCAGATCAGGGTAATTGGTATATCTATCACAACAAACATTTATCATATCTTTGTGGTGGGAACATTCAGAAATTGATAAAATTTCATTTTCAGATCACTCATTTTTTCTATTTCTATGGTTTGAATGTGTCCTCCCAAAAAACAGGTGTTAAAAGCACAACCCGCAATGCAACAGTGATGGGAGGTGGGGCCTAATGTTTAGGTCACAAGATTGCTCATGAAGGGATTAATGCTGACCATAAAAGGGATTAAAGAAGACATGAATTAAACTATGATGTATCATAAGAACTTCTGTAAATGTCACAATGATTCCCCGCTACAACAAATATGATAATTATAAGTTGCAAATTATATTTCAAATAAAAAAGGAATTGACGCTCTGAATTTGATCATTTGTTTTCTCTTATCTCTTTCCTTCTACCATGGGATGGTGCATGAAGAAGGCCCTCATCAGATGCTGGTCCCTTTATCAAGAGGACTTTCCAGCCTCTTGAACCGTAATCCAATATATTTTGGTTCATTATAAATTTTCCAGTCTCAAGTATTCTGTTATAGCAGCACAAAATGAACCAAGACATACATTAACCTTGTAGCCTGCAACCCTAAATGAACAAAGTCATTTGGGCAGGCAGTTGTGGAAAATATAACTGCAAGAAAATGTCTGGGATGAGAAAAGTGTGACGGCTACAATAATAGTTCCCATGCACTGAGTTTGTTTGCAACAGGTCAGCCTTTAACGTGCACAGGAGTGTCCTGGGAATCTAGTTAAAATCCAGACTGTTGTCACTGGCTTTGGGGCGGGGCCTGATATTCTGCCTTTTTAATGATGCCTCAGTTAGAGAGCTAGGAGCTTTTATTTATCATCTTCAAAATATTGCAACCGTGCAGTATTTTATTGCTCCCATTTTATAGATAATAAAATGATCTCAGAAGTCGAGCAAGTAACTCGGGTTTATAGAATAGGCAGAACCAGGATTATGAACACAGTTCATGCTGACACCAAAGCGAGGCTCTTTCCACTTTAGCACATTAGATATCTGGAGTATGAGGAGGACATTTTGGACATGAGCAGAGTATAGGCCAGGAAAAAAGCAAGCTGTTCAGCACGGAGTTGCTGCCTAGAATGCACTTGGTTCTACACTCTGAGGCTGTCATAGGGAGCTGATCAACAACACCCTTGACTTCCAGAGAGCTGAGAATGACAGTGTGAGACTTAACTACCAGCTAAAAGTAAGATGATGCTAGGCAGAACTCAAGACCCGAGGAGGCCTAAAAGATGGCTAGACTTGAGAACTAGGTTCTTGGCACTGTTGAGGTCCACACTTGAGTTTACCCCTATTGTCGAATCTTCCTGCAATCTAAATGTTGGGCCAGGTTATTTCCATGTTGCCACTGACTCATGCTATAGTTTGGATGTGGTTTGAGTTTGTCTCCTAAGGGTTCATGTGTTTGAAGCTTGGTCCTCAGCGCGGCAATCCTAAGAGGTGAGATGTTCTTAGGACATTGAGAGAATGCCTCAGAAGGGGTTAGGATAGTTTTCATGGACCCCTAAGTTAGTTCTAACGAAAGCAAGTTGTTATAAAAATGTGAACCTGACCCCTGAATTGCGCTTTGGCATCCTGTACAGTGATATGATCCTTCTCATACGTGCTTCCAACACTGTGGTACCATCCCCCATGAGACCCCCACCAGACCCAAACAGATGCCAGCATCGTGCCCATCAACCTCCTGAACTGTGAACTAAATAAACCTCTTTCCTTGGTAAAGTTTCCCAGCCTCAGGTGTTTTGCAATAGAAACAGAAAGATGGACCAATATTGCTAGCCAAAGAAGAAGAAATGCATCAGTGAACTAAAGAGTGGGGCTTGTGTTCCTGAGGTAACTTCTAAGCAGAAAAATACCATTCTTTAATCTCGTGGTAGCAGAAATAACCTGTGGCATGAACTCTGCTTCTTACTCAGGATGCTCATGGAATAGATATCCCCTGTGACATACCCTGCCACTTTAACGTGGATAATGAATGCTGCAGTACCAATACCATCCCTAAAGGAATGGGATAAAGGTTTAGGGATCTGGTTTAGTCTCCAGTCATACAGCTATATATGAAGGATTATGGGTAGGTGACTGAATTCCTTTCTAATACTTTTCAGCAAAAATATTAGGTGACTTCCATTACCTGAGTCAAAACACATGAGACAATTATTTTTGTCCTTAGCACCTTTTATTGAAGTATGACCCTTGATGACAATTTGGCAGGCATATCTATGTCAGCCGAGAAGGGAGTGGTGGAGGACACAAATGCAGAAACAATAAAATTCAGAAAAATAATACCTTCACATGGGATAAATGACCCCCCCAAAATTGTACAGAAACATTGGTTTTTTATACAAATGTCCCCTGCCCCACCCCCCTCTAAAGATCTACTAATCTTCAAATAATAAAATATGCTGTTGCAGAAATATTATTGGCATACACAACTCCTCTGGCGAAGATAATGGGAGTTGCCAAGCACCAGATGGGTGGAAGTGGCCAGAAATGTACCCAGCTTCCCCCATCTGGGGCCTGCTACTGGCATAGCAGCACCTTCAGGGAGGCTGGGGTTCAGAATGTGACTCTGGTGCCTCTGGGTAGCTTTTATTTGGCACGTGAAGTTAAAGGGCAAACAGAATCTGACCCTCACCTTGAAAGAGGCCTTTCAGCTTTTTCACTCTCTTCTTTCCTCTGCTTTTAATCTCTCCCTTTCTAGGACTTTAGTTTCAGTGTCTCTGTCTCATTCTCTTGGATTGCACTTGGGCATTTATTTCTATATCCTGGCTTCATCTCCAGCTTTGGGACTCAAGGAGACTCAATTATTCAGAGCCCTGGAATGGGGGAAGTAAGAGGCCATGTATGATAGTAATCTTGCACTGACTCCTTTTTATCTATACACTACCCTGCTTACCTATTCCTGGTGGGCCTATTAATATTAATATATTTCCCCTTTGGGGAAATCCTTTGGCCTGCCTTACAAACTGCTACCCCTTCAGAGGCTTTGGAGAAAGGCTGAGTCCAGAAACCGAGAATAGGGAGAGATACCCCATCTCAAGTAATAGTGGCAGCTTTGCAGCACTATCACTCATAATGAGACCATCATGGCGGGAGCATGGCATGCCAGTATCGGTTTAGTATTTCACCTTTGCCTACTGAACTTCACTGCTCAGTATAGTTTGGGGGGTTTATGTTTTTTTTGGCGGCACCAGGGTTTGAACTCAGGGCCTCACGCTTGCCAGGCAGGCACTCATCACTTGAGCTATTCCACCAGCCCTGGGGTTATGTTTTAAATGCTTTGGAAACTAAGCATTCTTGTGTCCTGACTCCAACTCTAGAAACTGATTTGATATGGGATGAGTGCTAAAAATACCAGAGTTAGGGCTAAGGCTATAGCTTAGTGGTAGAGTACTTGCCTAGTATGCACGGGATCCTGGATTCCATCCACGGCACCACAACCCCACCCAAACCCCCAGAGTTCATAGTATTTTTGATATCATAAACTTAAGGTATAATCAATGTAACACTAACTAGAAGTACCTGGGCTATGGCCACAGTATCCAGGTAAGTGATTTCCTTTTCCTCTAGGCCCGTATTCACCAAAATGTATTCTAGTCAAAAAAAAAATCTTAGGATGATAGAACACAATGGCCTCACTTCCCCAATATAAGACATTTCAGTTTGCTTATTGTTTGTTCTAGGGCCTGTTGAAATAAAGACAAGGCAATCATGGCCTCTGTTCAAAGCATTCCCTGATCTCCTTCAACCTTCATTTGGGTAAACCTAGCGTGTTATAAGTCATCAGTCTTCCTGAAGAGAGTAGAATCTTCCACTTGAGGGGAGAATGGAAGATGGACATTCTAACAGTGGTTCTGGAAGTGGTGGCAGTACTTTAAAAGCATACCCACAGCCTCACAGAAAGGGTTACTATCCCTACAGGACACCCTGTTGGCCGAGAGTTTCCCATTATTTTCAGACACAATGCAAAGGAAATGGAAGGGAAACTAGTGACAGGTATTTGTCACAGCAGCACAGTTCCTTGGCAAATTCTTTGGTTGAATGAGGTACCCCTGCTGCTACAGTGAACCTCCAAGGACCCTGAGGAACTCAGCAGTAACAAGAAGAGATGCCAGGGCTTGGCTGTGCTGGGCTTATGTGGGCTGTATAATACCAAGGACTGGTCCCAGTTAGCAAGGATCAAGAAATTAAGCTAGATAGATTTTGGCTACAATCCCTTCCTGCCACTGCCCACCTGAGTGCTTTTCCACAAGAGAAGCTGGTTACCAGTGTCAGGGTCTTGACAATAGTAGTAGTTTTAGTTCTTTGCACAGTAAGCCCCCCCTTACCTATGGTTTCACTTTCTGTGGTTTTAGTGACCTGTGATGAACCATGGTCTGAAAACATTACATGGAAAATTCCAGAACTAAACAATTTATAAGCTTAAATTGTAGTCCATTGTGAGCAGTGTGATGAAATTTTGCTCCATCTTGCTCCACCCATGCTGAGCATGACTCTTCCCTTTGTCCAGTGTATCCATGCTATTCAGAGTAACCCCCCTTTAGTCACTTAGCAGCCGTCTGAGTCATCAGATCAACTACTTTGGTATGCATAGGGTATGGTACTATCCAGAGTTTTAGGCACCTACTGGGGGGGGGGTCTTAGAATACCCCCCCTGAGGATAAGGAGGGACAACTGGCTGAATCTTCATTTGCTCTGGGGCCTGACCCTGGCTGCAGCTCCTAACTACCACAGTTTCAGTTTCTTGAGGCTGGCCACAGGCTGAGAAAACAGTTGTTAGAGGAGCTCACCTCCACTCATCCTGAGGACTGGAGATAGTAGAGAAATGGGTGACCTTTTGTCAGTATTAGGAGATTTCTTTGGTTTTACAAATCTAATAAAACGTTGAACCCTGCTTAGGGATGCTAAGTTCATGGTTATCCAGACTTCACGGGCAGCACAAAGCATAGTAGGGAGGCTGAGTCAAGGGGAGAATTCCTTTTTTAGGTGGGAAGAACTCAATGCCTCGGTACTGGCTTACCTAGCGAGTGAATTCAGGCTGATCTGTAGAAAATGCTTTCCTTCTGGGTTAAGTTTTCCCTCTCCAACTTCCCTCTTCTTGCCTTATTAGTTAAAAAAGAAAAAAAAAATCAAAGCATAAAAATAAATAAATTCAAAGTCCATTTAAAATATAACGATAAGAACCCCCTACCCCCAATAGTGAAACCTATATCCAGAAGTCAGCTGTAGTAGAGCTATTCAAGGTCCCTAGTGTGCAACCCTGGGTTAGGCACTTGTAACTCCTAGAAATACAAGGGCAAGATGCAATATGTGGTGGTAGACCCAAAGTCTTAGGACAGGAAGAAGGTGACACCAGGGCTGGGAGTAGCCTCTTCCTCCTCAACTAGATGCTGGGAAAGTAGAAGTGGAGCCAACTTATTGAAGGCTGGCTTCTTCCTGGGGGGGCACTGGGATACCCAAACTTTGCTGGCATTCTGTTAATGTGTAAAGCTTGAGTAATGCCCTAAAACTGGTGGTAGATGAGTGCCCACAGGTGAGCCAGATCTCTGTGGCAAACAGCTGGGCCATGAGCTCTGGTGGCAAGGGGAGCTATACAGACAGTTTCTCTCTGAGTCTTAAGAGGCTGATTATGGTGCGGGTGGGTGTGAGTTCATGATGTCTTTGGTGTTCTAGTACACAGAAGAATGAAGGCACTGCATTGGTTCTGTGGGCAGTGAGTGCTGGCCCGCACACACTGTGGGAAAGAGTGTGGTTGCGTGATCATACCCTGCTGCAGTTCTTTAGGGTAGAAGCTTGGTGCCTCCCCAGGGTCTCGTAGCTGGCTGGAACCACTGCTAGGGAAGAGACAGAGAGAGACATCCAAGGTAGAAGGCTGGAACAACCAGCTAACTAACTGCTTATGTACTTGCTAACAAACTGCTACTGAAGATTCAGAGCACTTCCCACTGGGGCTGGGCAGGGATGCTGTGGCAACCTGCTGGTCAAATTAGAAATTGCTGGGCCCCAGGAGCAGGCTCTCCCTGAGACATTTGAGCTGCTCTTCCCCAAGCTTGATCTTCTCCTCCAGCTCTCTCTGTTCAATGATGAGAGCAGATTTCATCTTGACAAAGTGCTGGTAATCTTGGAGCTGGTCCTGAGGCAGGTAGCGAGAGACCATGCCAAACACCAGCTTCTCCCGGCGGTCCACGTGCTCCTTCAGCTCCTTGGCATCCGCCAACTGGCCCATCAGCTGCTGCTTCTTCTCTATCAGCACCAACTGGGGAAGCAGAGGACCAATTAAGGGCTATGCCAATTACTGGGCGTCTTGTCTACTTGCTCTACCAGGGAGGTGGGCACATAGCAGCTATGCATTCTGTTGACTGATCAGTCCTGATTTCCTGCTCTAAAGCCCACCTCTGTGCAGAAGCCTTTCTTTCCTATAGCTGGAGGAGGATAAGTGTGACAGCAATTCTGGACAGGGCATGTGAAACCACCTCTTTCCATGTCTACGGTTGTCCTTAATTTGTGGACCACCACTGAGTATGGCATGGGGAAAGGCTCTGCGAAAAACAGCCTGTGTCCTTTCCATCTGGTGAACAAGCATTGCTGTGACAATGCTTTCGTTATGGTGTGTGTCTCTGTGAGTGGACATGTGTGAATGTATGGATCCGTGTGTGTGCACATGTATATGTGCCTCTTTTGTGGATTCAAAGCCACTTGTGGAGGGAAAGGTAACACGGTTTGGTTCAGGAATGGATGCAGAGCGAGCCAACTTGTGAAACTGACAGCATTCCCAGCTCAACTATTCCATGAGGCCTCTCCTCCCAGCTCTAGGGGGTGTGAGGCAAAATTGCTGCAGCTGCAACAATTGAACCCCGCTCAGGAATGCTAAATTCACGGTCATCCAGACTTTGTGGGAAGCACAAGACATAGTAGGGAGGCTGAGTCAAGGGGAGAACTCCTTTCTTAGGCACCTGTAGCTATGGTGGGAAGAACGCAATCCTTCGGTAGCACTGATTCAGTATTTACCGGTTCAGGCCCTGTTTGAAATAATTAGCATGGATTAGCTAATTTAATACTCACAACACCACCAAGCGGCAGGTAATATGTTTGCCTTGTTTTATGGATGAAGCAATTGAGACAGAGTGAGGTTAAGTAAGTTCCCTCCAGCCATACAGCTAACAAGCAGTAGAGCCAGAATTTCAGCATACTTAAGAGACAGTGCCTCCCAGAACTCGAAAGAGGGAGTTCCAAGAACAATAGACGGCATTTCCCTCCATCCACATCCCCAGAGACTCCAATTCTACCTTCTCCTGGTTGGCCTCTGTGTCAACACTGTTGAGAGCATTCTCCACCCGGGCCAGTCGTCCAGAGAGTGACAGCAACAGGTTGACCACTTTGTCCAGGTCCCCAATAAACAAGCAGTATTTTTCAAACTCGTTGGATTTGCAGACAGCTTTTAAGTTGGCTTCCACCTCCTCTCCAAGGGTAGCATTGGCATTGATGTCCTCCAGCAACCCTCTTTGGGCCTCCCGCAGGACAGAGAGTTTTCGCCCAATGCTTTCAATAAGCTGTATCTAAGAGAGTTAAACAGAAGACAACAAAGGATGAACACGGGCACCAACAGAAGCTGATCTGTGCCTCTAACCTCTGTTTTGGGAGTCAAATAACAGATGTGAGGTTTTACCCTAGTCATTGGGACTAAGGATACTTGAGCAAGTCATTAGCGATTCTAGTTTTCTGGGTAGGAACCATCTCTTCCTGTCTGGTAGGCATCTCTGTGCTACCATCAAAGTTCTTGGTAGCCAGGGGCTAACCCACATTTGCCAAATGCAATAAAGACTAAGTAGGATCTAGAATGCCTGTGAGATCCTGGTTGGAAAAGCATTTGCCATCAAGTATTTGCCTTTCATGTCATTTACTTCCCTTCAACACTTATAGTACTGTGCTAGGTCCTTGCTTCCTCGGCTTGCTTTTGAGGCCTTTGGATAAGAGTGGAAAATTCTGGAGTCACAACGACTTCTAGCTCTGCCACTTCCTAGCTGTGGGGCCTCGGATGACTTGACTTTATTGAATTTTACTTTCTTTATCTGTAGAAGGAATGGGGGTAATTGCAGTGCCCATTGTATTGGGTGGTAGTGATTCAATGAAATAATGCATGCAAAGAGCTTTGCTCAGAGTAAGTGCTCAATAAAAGTGAAGGTGCTATTATTATTATTATTATTATCATTCATTTGGCCTCACACTACCATTTTAATGTCACTCCTCATAACCTTTAAGGATTAGCTCTATTCTCTACTGTGCTCACAAAACTCTTTCTTGCCTTTCTGCGTTGCTACTGCAATTCCACCTGCTTTTTCTCTCTCTTCACCATAGGCTATTCTTTCTTCAGGCCCCAGCTTTGCCAGCCCTCCCTACAGGAAGCTCTCCTCTGGAAGCCTTCTCCCAATGATTTCTTTTTTTCTGAGCTATCAAGTCTTCTAGAATTAGAACCCTACAATATAATTTGAAGTTGTTCCCATTCTATTTCATGTGTGTGAGTCCAATCTCTCACCTACCATTGATTCTAAGTTTCTCAAGGGAAGCACTACCTGTGTGTTAGTCAGTTCTTTTTGTGCTGTGACAAAATACCCGAGGAAGACAATTTAAGGGAGGAAGGATTTATTTTGAATCACAGTCTTAAAGGTTTCAGTCCATCACGGCAGGGAGAATGTGGTGGAGCAGAGCAGCTCACATCAAAGTGGCCAGGAAGCAAAGAGAGAGAATGCCTATAACTCTAGGGCTTTTTCAAAACCCTTTTATTTCATCCAGGCTCCCAGCCTATGGGATGGTACTACCCACATTCAGGGAGGGTCTTCTCCCCTTAGTTAATCCTCTTAAGAAATGTCCTCACAGACACATTCAGAGGTGTACTTCAGTAATCTCCTAGGCATCTTGCAATCTAATCAAACTGACAATCAAAATTAACCATCACTGCCTGTGTCTTCTGATTTGCATCCCCTCTAGCTGTAAGCAGTTCTGGCATTGTACTCACAGGAAAGCAATGTAGCAGAGTGAAATCATGGAGTCAGAGACACCAGGATCCAATTCCACCTCCTCCAAACTCTGTGGCTTTGAGCAAGACACTTAATCCCAGTAAGAATTCTATTTCCTTATCTACAAACTGGGGGAGCACTCCATTTCCCCTGAGGGTTTCTGTGATGGCTAAATGAGACCACAGAAGTAAAATATTTTATTACTGTGCCTGGCACATTAAGTGCTCAATGCATATTTATGTATGCAATTATTATTATTATTATTATTATTACTACAAGGCTTCCTCAACTGAAGGATTCTTGTCTAGCTGTGAGGTTCTAACAGGCATTCAGCATTGCATTGTGGTTAAGAGCATGGACTCTAGTGCCAGGGTACCTGATTTTGAACCCCAGCTCTCCCAGAAACTAGTGATGTGACCTTCAACAAATTAGTCAACCTCTCTGTACCTTGATTCCCTCACCTAAAAATAGGATGTTAGTACCTATCTTGTAGAGTGGTTATGAGAATCAAGTGTTAATGCTTAGAATAGTACTTTGTACTTAGGAAGTATGCTATGGTGTTTGTTTTATTATTATTCTAGCCTAGCACTCTGGGACCACAGAGTTGGTGTTTTCTAGAATGTGTTATTCTCTAGTAATTTATTTCGAGATTTCCAAATTGATCAGGACTAAGAAAGCTTTTTCACATTTTAGAACTGTTCAAAAGTCAGGCGTGCACCATGATTATAGCCCAAAGTATAATAAGTTTGCATTTGAGGAAAATTCTAAAGTTCGTTGGGAACTGGAGAACAGTGATATAAACGAGGAAACAGAATTAGATGTCAAGAGATTTCCAGTTACTTTACCACACTCTGCTCTCCCACACAAAACTTAATTCCAGGGACCAGAGATGACTCACTTGGAATACCACCCACCTACTGACCCCAGAAACCATAATTTGGGGACAGACAGAAGGATGGAAATGGGAGAGCCATTTGTTTCTGAGTACCTGAGCTCTACAACCTGAACCTCAGGCCTCGGAGAAGATGTAGGCATCATCACAGACTCAGTCAGGGCTGAGTTGTTTTTTCTAGGATATTGCAAATTGGTGACCTGCTTCATCTTTTGTCCTCACCCAAAGTCACTTCAAATCATTCTCTGTTGTTTTCTCCTTTGTCATTCCCAATTGTCTCTCCCTTCTCTTGGCCAGACTTTTTTTTTTTTGCTGCTGGAAAGGCCAGGCCCTGAGTAAGCAAGGAGCAGCCCTGCTGTGCTAAGGAACAAGGAATCCAAGGAAGCACATCTGGATCAATAAAACTTCAGCAGCCTCCATGCTTCCAATTCTTTCCCTGATATTTTTGCTTCAGATAGCAAATTGGAGAGAGGGCTTTTGTAAATGGCCCTATGCTTTCCTACAGGCCGGGCTGTGTGGTGAAAGAAAAATATGGTCCGCAAAATGGTAAATTGGACCTTTGTGGTTGCCATGACAACCTTATTTGCTTATGAAATAAAATGGGTAAGTTCAGGGAAGGCAAAGTGATTCCAGGAACTTGATTAGAAAACTAGGCCACTGGTACTTAGGAGGAAGAAAAGGAGACTTCAGTACAATGACAACATCACCAACAACATCGCTATTCACCTATTTTGTATTTTTAAGAGCTAATTGACCATAATTGCAAGTAAATAATAAAGTCAGCTAGTCTATAATTTCTCTTTATTTTCCTTAGTCAGTCTGTTCTTCCACCCTACAAGTAACATAGAGAAAAAAACATCAATGACACTTCCATTGGCTAGATCTCAGTGGCCAAAACTCTGATGTGCCTAGGGCAGTTACTTATAAGGCTTACTTAATTTCAAAGGACAGCATGATACAGCAGAAAAACAGAGTCTAGACTTCAAGTCCTGGATCTATTATTTATTCTGTAAATCTTGGGAAAATTAGTCCCTTCAACTAGTATAAAAGAGATAGCAATATCTGCCTTGTAGGGCTAGGGGTGTAGTTCATTGGTAAAGCACTTTCTGGCATGTGTAAGGCCTTGGGTTTGATCCTTAGCACCACAAAAATAGTAAAGAAAGAAAGAAAGAAAGAAAGAAAGGAGGGAGGGAGGGAGGAAGGAAGGAAAGAAAGAGAAAGAAAGAAAGGAATGAAAAAGAAGGAAGGAAGGAAAGAAAGAAAGAAAAGAAGGGAAGAAAGAAAAGAAAGGAAGGGAAGGAAGAAAGAAAAAGAAAGGAAGGGAAGGAAGGAAAAAAAGAGCATGTAGCTCAGTGGAAGGCCCTGTGTTTGATCCCCAGCACCACAAAAATCTACCTTGTTGGGTAGGTTCTAAGGATCAGAGAGACAGTAATGACTACTGCTGCTGCTGCTGCTGCTGCTGCTGCTGATTGGATCAAAAAGAGACTGGGAAATACATACATATTCCATATGGAAATACAGGAATGAAAGATGTTCTAGAGGGCGTGGAGGGTCTGGTTGCTGTCCAAACACACTTAGTTAGATGCTGAAAATCTCTAGGACATACCAAAAACTTTACCTTTTTTTGAGCCAGTTCATGGTCAACTTCCTCCTCTCCCAGGCCAATCTCTGCCATCTCGGGTTGATCTTTTAACTTGTTCAGCAGCTCTGCCTTGGCCACAGAAATATTATAATAAGTTGAGTAAGAGGTAGGGATTCCTGGGGCCCCTGGAGGAGGTGAGAAGTGCTGAAATTCTTTTCTGTGGAAAGAAAGAATGGCCAGTTTAGAACTTCTGTTGAGACTGCTGACCTTTCTGCTTCCTTAACTGTCCCATCTGTAAAATGTGATCCTGCTTTACTAAGGAGTTGTTAAAAAAAAAAAGACCAAAAGGTGCTGCTCAAACAAACAGGCCACACAAAAGCTGTCTAGAAGCCAAATAAAGGCAAACTTCAAGAACACAGAAGATTATTTCCATGCCTCTAACTTTAGCAGCAGGGGGAGACTTCTTTAAAGATAATTTGTTTTGCTATTTAGCACCCTTTTGAAATCCAGAACAACTGGCAGGCCCCCTCAAATTTCTGGACTTCTGAGCATACATAATTCCCCTTGGTTCATGGCCCCCAAGGAGGGGCTGCGGGGGCGTGGAGAAGTACTGGAGATCTTAGCTATTGTTCCTCTAGGCCTGTTGGCTTCCCTGCTACCCATCCACAGACTCCTACCTACCCCAGTTCTGTCTATCTTCTTGCTTACAAAGGCACCCCGTGGCTTTCCTGGACACTCCCATCTTTTCTTCTTTCCTGATGCTACTCCTGCTTGAAATGTTCCCTCCACTGCAGAGCTCTCACAGCAAAGAGGTCACCCATGACCTCAAGAGTGGTCACCATGGAGGCTGGGGTTAGCACCCCTGCCAGGGATTTGTCATGGCCCACCACATCTCTCATGAGCTCTTTTGACACTGCCTCCTGTAGGGCAGCCCTTCAATCTGAGAAGGGATAGCATCTCTCCACTTCTGGCATACTCCCAATGCCCTCAGCCTCCTGCATGGTTGTAGAATGAAATAGGGAATAAATGCAGTCAGTGACAGCCAGGGGCTTGACAAGTGTAGCAGCTGACCCTGTTGTCTTGGGTTCACTGAAGCCTGTGGGGTTGAGGTGTTGCTTCTCAGAGCCCCAGCCCATAAAAGAGAATTTCTCCTCAGGAAAGAAGTAGTTCTGGGTCCTTGCTGGCTTGGATTTGGACTCTTCTGCCATCAAGGCTTCTGGCCTGGTGGGAGGAAGAAGGAAGGTAAAGAGAAATGCTACAATGTTAGGCTTCAGTAAATAATTCCACCCAGGGTTTCTGCAAAGGGGAGGTCCACCCCCACTGTACTCTTTTTGCCGTCACTACCCCTTTGTTACCCTCTGGCTGTTTGAAAGAAAAATAGGAGAAGTTCATTAGTCATTTTTGCAGCTATTTAGAGCTTTTAGATAAAGGTCGAAAATAATGGTTAAGAGGCTCCACAGCTATTTACACATTCATGCTATGCTGTAACCTAATTCATCACACAAAAGAAACTTGGGCACGCCAGTATTCCTCATTCTCCGCAAATCCACTTCACATGAAGGGCTTCAGGCTTAGAACGCTGGTGTAGGAACACTACTAGCCAACCTTTGCACAGTGCTTACCTTGGCTAGGAACTGACCTAAGATAGATTCCATACACATGTACAGACATGTGCACACTGAGATATAATGTAGCTATAACTGAATGCCCATCATAACCATTTTGCAGATGAGAAATCTGAGGCCCAAGAGGTAAAGTGACTTTCCCAGCCAGTAAATTGCAGACTTCTGATTTCCACCTGGGCAACCTGACTCCACAATCTGTGCTTTTAGCCATTATGTTACATGATACTGACAGAGACAACTTGACATCATGGAAAACCATATATGTAAGGAATTTCTGGCTGGAGTATATCTGTGTTAGCAGAGAGGAGGGAGCATTGTGGAGGGAATATGAAGATATGAACTGTGAGAGTTCCTATTTATGAGAAAAATATTTAGGGCACGTGTGAAAGTTCTGAGTCAGAAATTGTACAGAATAAAAAAGGATATCCTAATTGGAGACTGAGTTCATTGGCAGATATAGCCTTGTATCATATTACTGTGGATCAGATCAGGTACCATGTTTGCGGGGGCCTTTCCTTGTTGCCTCCATGAACACAGAAGGAATTATAGGAGATCTGTGACAACATAATCAGAATTTAAAAGTGAACATCAAAGCAAAAATCAGAGTCTTTCCACAGACTGCTAAGAGGAAGTACATAGAGTTCATAAAGCAAGCTAGACACACACTTGAGTCAGAGTTATTAGATTTGACCAAGATTTGATAGTATTCCAGAATTTTTTAACTGAATAGTACATGGGTTATTAGAGATACTGTGGTTTAACTTGCCTGAAATTTAGATGTCTTTGTTTGCATTTTAGATTCAAAATATATGTCTATTTCCCCTAACACTATTCTTCATTGAAAAATCACTGCATCCTTCCGGTTAAGACCTTATACTCTCCTAGGGCCTGGAACAGAATCTTCTTTAGGAGCCCAGAGTCTCTGAAATAATGATGTGGGCAGAGTAAGCCAGACTCCCTGGGTGCTGGTTACCTATGATCCTATGGTAAAGTTACGTTGCTCCCTGGGCCTCTCTTTGCTCCCATTTAAAAAAATGGAAGAGACTAATCGTAACAATTTCATAGCTTTCTTGTGGAGATTAAATCAATCAATATAGATGCTCCTCAACTGGGAGTGGGTTAGGTCTCCAATAAACCATTGTAAGTGGAAAATATCATACACTAAAATGCGTGCAACTGACCTAACTGACCAAGCACCATAGCTCAGCAACACAGCAAATTGTGGGGCGTTGCTTCCTCTTGTGACCATGGGGCTGACTGGGAGCTGCTGCCCAGCATTGTGACAGTATTGCATTGCATCTCGCTAGCCCAGGAAAAGATCAAAACTCCAAACTGAAAGCACAGTTTCCACTGAATGTACGTTGCTTTTGCACCATCATAAGGCCAAAGAAAAAAAATCTTAAGACAAACCATTGTAAGTCAAGGAAGGTCTGTCAGTGAAAGTACCTGATACATAGTAAACAGGTAAAAAATGTTAGCTACATTGGGATGATGCTATTCCTTAAATTCTCATCACTTGAAAAGTATCTGTTACTGATTTTTTTTGGCAGTATTGGGGTTTGAACTCAGGTCCTCACTTGCTAGGCAAGTGCTCTACCACTTGAGCCACAACCCAAGATCTCATCAGTAACTGGATTTTGCAGCCAGAAGCCAGGGTTATATGCAAACAAATAATTCCCCACTCATTCTATAGTCATCTTTTAAAAAATTTCTGCAGCAAGTTACAAGATCTCTAGTAAGAGCAATTTCCTTCTCTGTAGCCAAGGTGCCAAGATGAATGGAAGTACAGAAAGGAGAAAGGGGCTTCTGATACACACTGCTCTACAGGAGAGAAGAGGGTCTCCTGAAGGCCTGGCCTCCTAGAAGAACTAGATCTCTCTGATAAAGGCTGCCGAAGAAAAATCAAAGCAAGCATGGGTTTTAGAGTCAGCCAGATCTGGTTTTGAATCTTTGCTGGGTGATACTGAATCAGCCCCTTATCTTGCTAAGCTTTAGTTACCTCATCTGTCAGTGGGGATAATAACGGCCAGTAGGGCTGCTGGGAGGATTTAATGAATAATGGATGTAAAGTGCCTAGTGATGCCTGGCATATAGGAAATGCTTAATGAATGTTCATTCATTCATTTAACCCTTTTGCCTTCTGAAATACTAGCTAAGGGCCTACTATGTGCCAGGTCACCTTTCCCTCCTCCTGGTGATGGCAGTCACTTTCTGAAAAATGTTTTCTAGTTGCAATGGCATCTGATAAGAGATTCTCATAGCACCTGGGATCCGGAGCCTGCTCTAAAATGCTTTGCTTGTGGCACCTCAGACTAGAAAACTGGTAAGCCATTCCAGATAAACAAGTAAGGAGATTTGCCTGCCAATAAAAGATCCGATAACAAGACATAACAATAGCAGGGTACATTATAGCACCTATGTCTCAGGTGAGATCCTGCTGTTAAGGGATTTAAAGAAAGCACTTAGAAGACACTTGTCTCCCCGCCCCCAGCAAAGAGTGGGCCAAGCTCCCTGGGGGAGGGCAGGCAGAACTGAGAGTCAAAGCACTGAGCAATGCCTTTGGAGCAAAAAGGATAGGCAGGTACTGGGGCTTGCCAGATGAGCACCAGCTCTGTAACCAGACAGTGGAGGTCTGTGCTCTTGCTTTGACCTACCTCCCTGCCCAAGCAGGTCACCCTGTAGACTACTACCTGTTGCCCACCCAAGAAAATGCAAAGAGGCAGGGAAACAAAGAGACAGAGAAAATGGAAGCGACAAAGAAGGTCCTTAGCTGTGTTGTAAGGAATTATGAGGGCCTAAGCACCCAGCCCCAGGAACACCTTTGAAGCTGGGACTAGGGAAAGAGTTTAGAGGCCAAGGCTAGTTTGCCTAGAGCAGAGGCAGGCCAGGGTGCAAGCTGTCCTCTTATTTTAGAAGACAATCAAAAAAAAAAAAAAACCAGACAGAAAGACCCTGAGCCAGGTTTCTGAAAAAGACCTATACAGGCAAGAAGGGTTTTAGTGGGTTGAATGCCTTCAGCATCAAAGCCAGATATTGATGCATACCTTAAAGACAAACTGAGAAATAATACAGCTTTTTAGAAATGATGGGGCTAAAACCTCAGCAATTCTCATTTACTGAGCAGCTACAATGTGTCTGTGCTCTTTACAGTTTATCTTATATTCACGACAAACACGTGGTAGAGGTGTCACTATGCCCATTTTCCTCTTAAGAAAACTGAGGCTGGGAGTAGTTTAATTGACCAGTTTAAGGTCAGCTAGTTGGTGAACAGTAGAGGTGGACTTCAAAGTCATCCTACCTGCCACTTCGGAGAGCCAGTATCTTTCACAACACTTACTTGGGGGAGTCAGTGGCCTGCTCTGATGGCCTCCACAGTCCACCATAATAGCAAGGGGGCTGGGCTGGCTCAGGTTGAGATCCCAGGTGGCCCTTTATGGCAGGCAGGAGGTTGCTGGAATGGAGAGCAAAGGACTTTGGCTCTGGGAGGCTTTGTGAACTCTGCCTTGAGGCCTCCAGGTGGCCAGGGGGTTGTGGCTGCTCCAGGACCTCCTCAGGATTGACAGCACACAAACCAGTGGTTTCTGAACTGAAATACTGGGGTGGCAGCTCCTCCTCCTCTTCCTCTCCCTCCTCTTCCTCCTCCTCTTCTTCTTCCTCTTCTTCTTCATCCTCTTCCTCTTCTACTTCCTCCTCTTCCTCCTCCTCCTCTTGCTGCTGCTGCTGCTGTTGCTGCTGCTGCTGCTTCTGCTGCTGGGCTGCACGGAAGAGCCTGTACTTCTCCCAGTTGGGAGGAGGGGGCCGAGGAGGAGGAAAGGCCTTCTTCCTGGCTCCTAGAGGATCTGGCTGAGTCTCAGCAGCTTTAGTGAAGAGCTCCCTCCGATGCTGCCCCCAGGCCCGGGTGCCCTGAGGCTCCAGGCTGATGTGACTCTCTGAGAAGGCCCGGCTGCGCAGCGGGAGGGGCATGGAGGCAAGGGAGCTCCCCTCCTCGTAGACTGAAGTTTCCTCTGGTTTCAAGGCATGCTTGAAATCTCCTAGAAGGTCAAGAGAAGAAATCGCTCGGTGGCTTGACAAGTCGAGTGCTGGGTTCTCCAGGCAAGGATGGAAGGGGCTTGTCCATGAAAAGCTGCCCTTCGAGTGAGCCATTTCCCTGTGAAGCACCAGATGAGAGTTGAGCAAGACAAGCATGTGTGATGGCGCCAGATTTTGTTTGACATTATTTATGGAAAATGTAAGATGGCCACAAACACTGTAATGTGTGTAGTAACTGTAATAATCATCACAGTAACAGTAACACAGTCACAATGGTCCCTTACACTTACTGTGGATATCCAAAGCACCAGACATGATTTTTACGTGCTTTCTGCATCTAAATTTATTCAGTTTTCATTATGACGCTAGAAGGTAGCTATTACCGTTCTGATTTTACAGCTGGGGAAACTGAGACAAAGACTGGTTAAGTAACTTGCCTGGGATATAAAGCTAGTAAGTGGTAGACCCAGGATTTGATTTTGAACTATCTAGCTACAAAGTCTAGACATTACACCAGTCTGTTTCGAGCACTCAGATTGGATGTGCTATGTTCTGGATTTACAAGCTTGCTTGTTTTATCTGCTGTTATCATTTGTCTTGTGTGTGTGTGTGTGTGTGTGTGTGTGTGTGGCACTGGGGTTTGAACTCAGAGCCTACACCTTGAGCCACTCCACCAAGCCCTTTTCTGTGATGGACTTTTTTGAGGTAGGGTCTTGCGAACTATTTGCTCCAGCTGGCTTCAGACCGCAATCCTCCTGATCTCTGCCTCCTGAATAGCTAGGATTACAGGTGTAAGCCACCAGTGCCTGGCTATCTTATTTTTCATTATGAAAAATTCAATATTTAGAAATGTGCAGACATTTCCATAATAAATAGCTGTGTTCCCACCTACCACAAGAATTAGGACATTTAAATACTTTGCTATCTAAGTTTCATGAGGTTTTCTTAATCACAAAGATACAATGTTCTTGTATCACTCCTCACTTCCGTTACCTTCCCCTAGCTCCTCTCCAGATGCATGAATGAATGCATGAGGTGCGTGAGCACTTTCTATGTTCTCACACTTGTAATAAACAATGCCAAGCAGGTCATTCACAACTATCTGCTACTTTGGGTGTCAAATATCTCCTTTTAATGCATTCTAAACAGAAATCTCAACAGGAATTATATAGCTATAGATTTTTTTTGAAAATTAAGTTGCAGGACCAGGGACATGGCTCAAGTGGTAGACCACTGGTCCAATAAACTCAAGGCCCTGAGTTCAAACCCCAGTATAGCCAAAAAAAAAAAAAAAAGAAAGAAAAAAAATTAACTTGCAAAAAAGGGCAGGATATTATATCAAAGAGTATTCTTCTACAGAAGAATGGAGGAGGGGTAAGGAAGGGATTAAACATACTATGAAATAGTTGTGATTAATTGTATATTATTGACTAACACAACATAATAGAAAGTCCAGAAATAAACCAGACTATAAAAATAAAAAAATCATATATATAATCTTCTAAAGGAGATAAAGATTATTTAATACATCTTTTTGAGATAATTGCAGAGCAGTGCTATTTGGAACTGAACCATATATTATACCAAAATTAATTCACGATCAAGACTTAAGGATGCGTATGTACATATAATTTTAATTTATTGCATGTTATATGTGTATAAATATTGTATGCACATATGTATAATGAACTTATAAGAAAAATCTATCAGAACACTAAGAAGAAAATTACTTGTGAGGCAAAATAAAATTTTCACAAGTGATAAAAGAAAATCTCCAAGGAAAAAGTGCAGGTTTATTTGAATCTGTATAAAATGTCAAACTTCTGCACAATAAAGAGTTACCAACATTAAAAGATATCTCTTCAGCCCCTGAGTATAAAGAGTTAGGGCCTCTAAGTCACAAGATCTGGTTTCCTGCCACAGCCTGTGAGCAATCAACATCATACTAAGTCCTACCCAGTGACAGGAAATTCCAGAGGTTCGATTTGATCATCAGACACAATATCCACTCAACAGTCCTGATGAAGGCTGGGACTATTTCTTCAACAGTAAGACTGCACACAACTGTAGCCAAGCTCAGACAGGAAGGGAACTAAATGTCCTTCATTCCTCTCATCTCCAGCCCCCATCCTCACTACCCACTCACAGGGATCAGGAATTTATAACCACACATCTCCACTCTCCTTGTCTGGCCCTCAGCCCACCTATGGATCCCTTGTGCACAAACGTCAACCTGGTTTTTATCTCATCAGAGCAAAAAGCCAAAAAGTAGTGAGTAGACAGTAAAGGAATAAATGTGTGGCAGATAGAGAGGTCCTTCCTGACTACTCACCTAAAACATAAACAATTCCTGAAGTTATTCTGATTCTGCTTTGTTCTTTCTCAGAGCGTTGATCCCCAACCCTCAGTATTATGACAGACTATTACCATTTGTTGATCTTGCATTCCACACCCTACAACAGGCTCCATGAGGGCAGGAATCTTATCTGTCACATTTAGTTAGTCTCTAGTGACTGGCACACGGAAGGTGTTCAATAAATATTTGTTTAAGAAGTGAATTAATGCCACCATTGAAAAAGCAAGTTATGATGCTCACATCACAAAAAAAGTTGGATAAAGGCAAAAAAGCAATAAACAAGAGAAAGAAGGGCAGCTAACACACATGGTGATGAGCTAACTGCCCTGAATCTTTTCGTTCTTGCTTTTTTGAAATAGGATCTTGTCCAGGCTGGCCTCAAACTCATGATACTCCTGCCTCCTCCACCCAAGTGTTGAGATTACAGGCATGTGCCACTACTCCCAGCAGCTCTGAATTTTTATGCACCAAAGAATGTAGCACAAAAATTTATAAAGCAAACTCTATAGGAAATTCAAAGATAGAAAGGAGGTATGGGGATAGGTAGGAAACCCAAAACTTGAAAGTGTTTGATGTCCCCACTGCAGAAGAGCTAATACAGTAACCTTAAAGCGACAGAGGTCACTATGGGAAGGTGACCAGGAAGTAGTGAAAAGGTCTGGTAGAGATGGATCAATTCGGGTTGTGATACATATGTGCATGGAAGCAATGCTAGGAATCTCTCTGTGTAGCTATCCTTATCTCAACTAGCAAAAATGCTATGTCTTTCTTATTATTGCTTATGTCTTCTCTTCAACAAACTTAGAAATAAGGGCAGAACAGGTTCTGTCTGGAAATGAGGGGGGTTGGGGGAGAGGGAAGGGGCAGGGAGCATGGGGGAGAAATGACCCAAACAATATACGCACATGTGAATAAATGAATAAAATTTTTTAAAAGCAGAAACAAAGTATAAGACTATTTCAAGTGATGACAGTCTGTGATAGTAAAAAAACCAACATAATGGAAAAATCTAAATTTCTTTATACACTAAAAACAAAAGCTGTACTTTCTTTTCAAGGCCTCGCTGATCTTTTTTCCTTTGGTGGTACTAGGGTTTGAACTCAGGACCTTGTACTGGCTACACAGGTGCTCTACCACATGAGCATGCCCTCAGCCATTTTGCTTTAGTTATATTTTTCAGATAGGGTCTTGTATTTTTTTTGCCAGGGTTGGCCTTGGACTGTGATCCCTCTAACCTATACCTCCCACATAGCTTGGATTACAAGTGTGTACCATTATATCTCGCTTGTTCTTTGAGATAGGGTCTGGGCAACTCTTTGTCTGGGCTGGTCTCAAACCATAAACCTTCTGTCTCTGCTTCGCAAGTAGCTGGGATTACAGGCATGAGCCACAGCACCCAGCCTCTACTGAATGTTTGTTAAATTGACCATATATCGAACCAGAATGTGGAAGTAGTACATACCACATTTTCTAATCACAATATAGCAATGTTGGAAACGAATACCAAATATGAAAGACAAAAATCTATAGCATGTAGAAAATAAGCATGGAAAACACTCTCCACTTTAAACACAGAGGAAATCTAATCCAGAACTGAAGAATACTTAGAAAATAATAATAAAAACACCAGAAACTAGGGGATATGGTTGACTAAAGCAGTAGTAGGAAATTTTATAGCCTTAAATACTTACATTAATAGATAAGAACAAAATAGATGAATTAAACATTCAACAAAAGAAAAGAATCCCCAAAATAAACCTAAACAAAGAAGAAAGATAATAAAACTAATGACAGAAATCAACGCACTAGGAAATTAGTGACAGCATAATAAAAGCCAAAAGCCAGTTCTTTAAGAGAAAATATAAAATGGTAAAATGGATAAGTCACTTATTAATCTAATTTAATGACCCTAGTAATTCCAACTTTTTAAGGTAGTAAGTCAAATTATCTTAAAGGTTCCAATATTGTTTATAAACATAATCAAAATATCTGATACCTTCAAGTTTCAAGTTACAAGTCTAAAATAAATTACAGAATTTGAGATAAAAACACAAAAGTTAGAAATGGAGAACTAACTAGAGGTACACACCAAATGAAAAGAATAAGAGAATACGTTATAATATAAAAACATTTGAAAATTTAGAATAATTTTCTAGGAAAACAAAAACACCAAAACTGGTTGGAGAAGAGATTATCTAACCCCCTAGTAACCAGCGGAAAAATGTTGATAAATTTGCCCAAAAAATAGTACAATCACAGAATCTTGTGTTAGTTCTACCAATAGCCAAGGAACAACATCAATATTATTTATGCTTTCTAGTTTCTGGAATCTAGCGATTAGAGAAGAAAGATAACATTGATACCAAAACCAACAACCAGAAAGTACAGAAAGGAAGAGACCAGTGTTGTTCAAGAATATAGATACAAAAATCTTAAATAAAATATTAACAAAGAGAATCTGGGAGGGTGTTAAAAATGTAATAACCATAAACAAGTGGGGTTTGTCCTAGAAATAAAGCATTGGGTCAGCATTAGAAAATCTATTCATAAAATAGACAAATCAAAGGATGAAGGGCTGGTGGAGTGGCTCAAGGGGTAGAGCGCCCGCCTAGCAGGTGTGAGGCCCTGAGTTCAAGCCCCAGCACCTCCCCGCAAAAACTCCAAAAAATCCAAAAAGAATGACTCAAAGGATGATTGCCATAAGACAATCTCATGTTCAGAAAATATGTGTGGTAAGAATTCAATACCCTTTGCAGCC